TAAGAAACTTTATATGTTTATACTGTATACAAATATATACACACACACAAACACGAATGGTGGTAATCAAGCAAAAATGTATAATAATGTCTATGTCTAATGTCTATGTTTGAATAAAAAATGTTTGCATATAAAGTCAAAATAGGTCCCTGAAATCACCAGCAAGCTGCTTGTAAAAGTAAATAGTCTTTATCGATCTCTCAAAAATGTCAAACACAAATGGCTTCCTTCATCAAAAGTAAAGAAAACAGTCAATAGTCCAGGTATCAGGAAAACCATGCAACAGGCTCACCGCCAGACTCCACTCTGAGTTCGGATTCCCACTTGTCCCAGGGTGCCACCAAGGCCACAGGGTTTCAGCAAAAAACATCTCCAGTCAGAGTTCACACTTGCTCATAGCTTGTGAACTACTCCATTTTGCCTTACAGACACAGGTGCTGATTCTCTCCTGCTGTTTTTTCCTTTCCCGTGACTTAATCCCTTCAGGTCCAGAGTCTCTGCAATCAGGGTTTAGAGGTTCTTCCTTCCCAAACCTCTTTGAACCTCCAACATTCTGAGTCCTCAATAAGGACTTATCAATCTAAATAGTACTGAAAATGAGTTGTCTCCATCCGGATTACCCAGGAACCCCTCAACAATGTTTTCGAACTGTCCGCCTTAAAGGGACCACAACTCTAAAATGGGGGAAATATGCCTGTCACCTAGGACACATTCCTGGTGTCCTGTACAATAAGTAAAACATTTGCTAATTAATTGCCATGCAAAAAGTAATGAATATTTATGAATGATGGAAATCAGGAAATATATGCTAAAGCTGAGCAAAATATATGTTGTCAAAAGAAATGTTTGATTAAAGATTCTGTTAACATACAGTTAGTCCCATATATATTTAGACACAGGCACAATTTTAGATTTTTTTTTCAGGTATTTACCAAAACATATTTAAGCTATAGTTATATAATGGATATGGGCTGAAAGTGCACATTCGCAGGTTTAATTTGAGGGTATGTACAGTGGGGATCGAAAGTTTGGGTACCCCAGCTAAAAATTTGTATTAATGTACATAAAGAAGCCAAGGAAAGATGGAAAAATCTCCAAACGGCATCAAATTACAGATTAGACATTCTTATAATATGTCAACAAAAGTTAGATTTTTTTTCCATCATTTACACTTTCAAAATAACAGAAAACCAAAAAATGGCGTCTGCAAAAATTTGGGAACCCTGCAGAATTTATAGCATGCACTGCCCCCTTTGCAAAGCTGAGACCTGCCAGTGTCATGGATTGTTCTCAATCATCGCCTGGGAAGACCAGGTGATGTCAATCTCAAAGGTTTTAAATGCCTAGACTCATCTGACCTTGCCCCAACAATCAGCATCATGGGTTCTTCTAAGCAGTTGTCTAGAAAACTGAAACTGAAAATAGTTGACGCTCACAAAGCTGGAGAAGGCTGTAAGAAGATAGCAAAGCGTTTTTAGATGTCAATATCCTCTGTTCAGAATGTAATTAAGAAATGGCAGTCATCAGGAACAGTAGAAGTTAAAGCAAGATCTGGAAGACCAAGAAAAATATCAGACAGAACAGCTCGCAGGATTGTGAGAAAAACAATTCAAAACCCACGTTTGACTGCACGATCCCTCCAGAAAGATCTGGCAGACACTGGAGTTGTGGTACACTATTCCACTATAAAGAGATACTTGTACAAATATGGTCTTCATGGAAGAGTCATCAGAAGAAAACCTCTTCTACATCCTCACCACAAAAATCATTGTTTGAACTTTGCAAATGAACATATAGACAAGCCTGATGCATTTTGGAAACAAGTTCTGTGGACCGATGAGGTTAAAATTGAACTTTTTGGCCGGAATGAGCAAAGGTACGTTTGGAGAAGAAGGGGCACAGAATTTAATGAAAAGAACCTCTGTCCAACTGTTAAGCATGGAGTTGGATCAATCATGCTTTGGGGTTGTGTTGCAGCCAGTGGCACAGGGAACATCTCACGAGTAGAAGGAAAAATGGATTCAATAAAATTTCAGCAAAGCTGAAGTTAAAGAGAGGATGGCTTCTACAAATGGATAATGATCCTAAACACACCTCAAAATCCACGGGGGATTACATCAAGAGGCGTAAACTGAAGGTTTTGCCATGGCCTTCACAATCTCCTGATCTCAACATAATTGAAAATCTATGGATAGACCTTAAAAGAGCAGTGCGTGACAGGATAGCCCAGAAATCTCAAAGAACTGGAAGACTTTTGTAAGGAAGAATGGGCAAAGATACCTCAAACAAGAATTGAAAGACTCTTGGCTGGCTAGAAAAAGCATTTACAAGCTGTGATACTTGCCAAAGGGGGCAGTACAAGATTAATATCTGCAGGGTGCCCAAACGTTTGCAGACGCCATTTTTTTGTTTTCTGTTATTTTGAAAGTGTAAATGATGGAAATAAAATCTAACTTTTGTTGACATATTATAAGAATGTCTAATCTGTAATTTGATGCCGTTTGGAGATTTTTCCATCTTTCCTTGGCTTCTTTATGCACATTAATACAAATTTTTAGCTGGGGTGACCAAACTTTCGATCCCCACTGTACATCCAAATTGAATGAGGGGTTTAGAAATTACAGCTTTTAAGAGTAGCCATACCTCCTTTTTCAAGGGATCAAAAGTAATTGGACAATTGAATATAATTATAAATAAAATGTTCATTTTTTATATTTTGTTGAGAATCCTTTACTGGCAATGACTGCCTGAGGTCTGGAACCCATGGACATTACCAAAGACTGGGTTTCCTTTCTGATGCTTTGCCAGCTCTAACTGCAGCTGTCTTCAGTTGTTCTTTGTTTATGGGTCTTTCTGCCTTTAGTTTTGCCTTCAGCAAGTGAAATGCATGCTAAATTGGTTTGAGATCAGGTGATTGATTGGGCCATTGCCGAATATTCCACTTTTTTCCTTCCTAAGCTCCTGGGTTGCTTTTGCAGTGTGTTTTGGATCATTGTCCATCTGTACTGTGAAGCGCCGTCCAATCAACTTTGCTGCATTTAGTTGAATCTAGGATGATGACAATACAGTTTATCTCTAAACAATACAGAATTCAGCCAGCTGCTTCTGTCTTCTGGCACATCATCAATAAACACCAATGACCCAGTGCCACTGGAAGCCACACATGCCCATGCCATACAGATGATGTTGTGTGCTTTGGATCATGAGATGTTCCAAGTCTTTTTCTTCCCGTCATTCTAGTACAGATTAATCTTAGTGTCATCCATCCAAAGAATGCTTTTCCAGAACTGGTCTGGCATTTTTAGATGTTTTTTGGCAAAGTCTAATCTGGCTTTTCTATTCTTCAGGCTTATAAATGGTTTGCACCTTGTGTTGAATACTCTGTATTTGCTCTTGTGAAGTCTTCTCTTGATTGTAGACTTTGACAACATTATGCCCACCTCCTACAGAGTGTCCTTCACGTGTTTGGATGTTGTGAATGGGTTTTTCTTTACCATAGAGAGGATCCTGCAATCATCCACCAATGTTGTCTTTCATGGACATCTATGCCTTTTTATGTTGCTGAGCTCACCAGTGTGTTCTTCTTTGCTCAGAATGTACCAAACTGTTGATTTGGCCACTCCTAATGTTATTGCTAACTCTCTGATGGGTTTGTTTAGTGTTTGAAGCCTTACAATGTCCAGTTTCACTTGCACGGACAGTTCCTTAGAAAGCATGATGTAGGTTCACAGCAATACATTCCAAATGCAAATACCACACTTAGAATCAACTCCAGACCTTTTACCTGCCTAATTGATGAAGACATAACGAAGGAGTAGCCCTACACCTGACCATGAAACAGTTTTTGATTCAATTGTCCAATTACTTTTGGTCCCTTGAAAAAGGGGGGATGGATACTCTTAAGAGCTGTAATTCCTAAAGCCTTCCTCCAATTTGGATGTACCCTCAAATTACACCTGAGAGTGTGCACTTTCAGCCCATATCCATTATATAACTATAGCTTGAATATGTTTTGGCAAATACCTGAAAAAATCTAAAATTGAGCTTGTGTTCACATATATGTGGACCTAACTGTAGAACATGGTATATGTATAACAACCTATGTATAACATAAAATTGTTACTTATCCTTAACTTTAGTATGATTGTTTGGAAATAACAAGGCTGCTCTGTGGAAAACCATTGCATATATCCACTTCATTGTCAGCTGATTTTTATGCTCCGCCCTCTGGCCTTGACGGCCATATGCAGTGAATTGAATAGATGGTCAGCTGGTTGCAGAGAGACCGGGTGAGCGGAACAGATTCAAAGAGCTGCGATGGTCAGTCCAGGCCTGGTCTTTCTGCCAGATCTTAACAATGTCAGTGGGTGTAGTAAGGAATAAGCTCTCCGGGATGGCACAGAGAGGGTAAAATAGCTGGCTTGCCATGAACTCTGGAAAGGCATAATCCGAGCCCCCCTTCCCCTGCTCAAGAATTTCTGAGCCCGCCCGCCTGCCTAAACCCTGCCTCCCGCCAAGCCCTGCCGAGCTCTCCCGACCTGCCAAGCCCTGGTCTCTTGTCCCTTCTGCCTGGGGACGGTGCCCCCCCCCCCCTGAAAAATGCGCCTTAGGCAAATTCCTTGTTTGCCTTGTGGCAGATATTCCCCTGGTCTAGTACCCCTCTCTGCCAATCCTTCCACTGGCTTCCACTCACCCAATGAATAAAATTCAAAGTACTAACAACAGCCTATAAAGCCATCCACAATTCTGCTGCATCACTAACCTAAGGAACCCCAATCTGTCCAACTATCTCCTAATCTATCCACCTTTAGATGATCTCTGAACACCCTTGCCTTTAACCACCTCCCGCCCACCATATAAGGAAATGAGGGGCTCAAGGTGGTTCTCTCATTCTGGGAAGACGTCATATGACGTCCTCCCACTCTAACTACGCATGTGCGGCTCCGGGGGCACGCAGTGCGGTGATCAGTGGTGTGCTGTGTCCCTCGAACAAAGCGGATCACTGATCAACGGAAAGAGCCGAAGATGTCGGCTCAGTCATGTGATCAGCTGTGTCCAATCACAGTTGATCTCATGTAAATAGGGAAATGCCAGTTATCTGCATTTCTCTCCTCACAAGCTGTCACGCTGACAGCTCTTGAGGAGAGGAGAGCCGGCAATCAGCATTCCTCAGAGGGGACATGTACACTGATCATCAGGGCACTGCTGATCAGTGTGCCCTGGTGATCAGTGTAGCCCCAGCAGTGCCAGCTGTCGGTGCCCATCAGTGCCACATCAATGCCACATATCAATGCCTATCAGTGTACATCAATGCCACATATCAGTGCCCATCTGAGCTGCCTTTCAGTGTCACCTATCAGTGCCACCTATCAATGCCAGTTCAGTGCCACCTATCAGTGCTGCCAATCAGCACCACCTATCAATGCCAATCAATGTCGCTTATCAGTGCCAGTCAGTGCCACCTATAAGTGCGCATCGGTGCCGCCTATCAGTGCCCGTCAGTGCTGCCTATCAGTGCCGCCTAACAGTGCCAGTCAGTGCCACCTAACAGTGCCAGTCAGTGCCACCTATAAGTGCCGGTGCCGCCTATCAGTGCCCGTCAGTGCTGCCTATCAGTGCCGCCTAACAGTGCCAGTCACACCTAACAGTGCCAGTCAGTGCCGCCTATCAGTGCCACCCATCAGCTCCACATATGAGTGCTGCCTTTCAGTGCCCATCGGTGATGCCTGTCAATGCCCATCAGTGCCCCCTACCAGTGCCTCCTCATCAGTGCCCATCAGTGCCACCTATCAGTGCCGTCTATCAGTGCCATATATGAGTGCTGCCTTTCAGTGCCCATCAGTGATGCCTGTCAATGCCCATCAGTGCCACTTACCAGTGCCTCCTCATCAGTGCCCATCAGTGATACCTATCAGTGCCCATCAGTGCAGCCTATCAGTGCCCATCACTGCAGCCTCAATAGCGCACATCAGGAGAACAATCACTTATTTACAAAATTTTATAAGAAAATTTTTTTTTCAAAATTTTTAGTTGTTTTGGCTTGTTTAGCAAAAAATAAAAAACCCAGAGGTGATTAAATACCACCAAAAGAAAGCTCTATATGTCTAAAAAAAATTATAAAAATGTCATATGTTGCGTGACCGCGCAATTGTCATTCAAAGTGTGACAACTCTGAAAGCTGAAAATTGGCCTGGGCAGGAAGGGGGTATAAGTTCCCTGTAGGCAATTGGTTCAAGACGCCTATCCTGCTTCTAACTAATGCACTGCAATTTTTTACACTTTTTTTTGATCACTTGACCCCCCCTCTTAGATTGTAAACTCTAAGGAGCAGGACTCTCTGATTCCACTTGTAACAAATTGTTTTGTACCTGTAATGTCTGCCTTCATTTTGTAAAGTGCTGTGCAAACTGTTGGCGCTATATACATCTTGTATGATATTCATAAATAATAATACATGTATAACAATATGGGTTATATTACTAATGTATTTATTATTTATTTATTTTATTCATTGTTTTTACCTTGTGCACTGAACGTGTGCAATATTATAAATATTTATATTACTAAGCTTTTCCAAATGTTCATTTGTGAAAAATAATATTATTTCTAATGTATGAACATGTGGAATAAATAGGAAAATATGCTACTCCTAGACAAGAGGACATTAACCAAGCTATAGCAACAAGTATTAGAATCTGTAAGCCATTGTACTTGTATGACAAACCCAGATCATCTATTCATCAGATTCATTGTTTTTTTTTATTATTATTATTATTTTAGCAAGAATGTCTTTTGTATTTCATATTGGTTTTGGTCATTATTTTATACTTTTCCAACATATATTTAAAGTAGAACTAAAAGCAAAACGTATTATTTTGGTTAGAATAAGGGAGGGTTATAACACCTGTCAGTATGTTTTTGCCATCTGTGTCTCATTTGGGAATTTCTCTTCACTTCCTGCCCTATATCCAAAACAAGAAGTGAGAGGAAATCCCTCCAAAGTGAGGGTATGCAATGTTGTCACCAGGGTGACAAGAGTTAGTGTCCTTATTGGAAAATTTCCTTCTGCTAATGTTCTGGGGACAAACCAAAATTTAGCATTTTACTTACTTTCTCTTTCAGCAGCAACGATAAACATGACCAATAGAGATGGTCAACCTACCTATTGGAAGTACAGACGGCAGTGAAACCCTGACCATTATTCTAATGCCTCTCCACTCTGTCCAAAAAAAAGAAAAAAGTTTTGCATTCAGTACTTTTAATCCATTACTCTTTAATAGTATCTTAATAGACCACATACTGGTCCCATTGTTATTCTGATTAAAAAAAGCTATACAACCAAAAAGAAACCAAAAATAACCCTCTTAATGTTAAAACTTAAATGTTAAAAAAAAATGAAAAGATCATTTCACTAAGCTCTAGTACATATTAATTTATATTCAATAGTAATTATTATGTTTATATCCTATTGGCTTCCCTTCCTAAAAATTATGATTGTCACAGGATATAACAATTGTTATAACTTAGTGAACTAAGCCTATATTTTCAGGACCCTAGAGAGCTCTGTACTTGAAATATCATCCTGACTTTCAACAATTGTATTATACATACAGTAAATTAGACCAGCAACAATATGTTCCTTTTCTAAAAATGTTCAATTATTTTTTTTTTAAATCCATGAATTTATATCTTTGACAAGAATTAAACACATTAAAGATGTATCCCCTTTTTCCCAAATTCCAATGCAAATAAAAACAATATTTAAAAAAATACAAATACAAATACAAAGACCTTTTACCTAACAAGCCAGTAAAAAATCAAGTGATGATTCTCAAAGAAAACCCTGGTCTGCTGTGACCTAAGTTGTGTGTCAGCTAATGTACCCAAATGCACACACGCGGGAGTTTTTATTTTCGTTCAACCCAGTTGGCTGAATAAAAAAAATGAAGAGGTCGCCTTACTAAGTGATGTTAGTGTGGCGATCTTCCCCACTGAGCTATTGTGTTCTGAGAGGTGGACTCCCCCCCACCAGAACACACTGATCAGCACTTACAGCCATTGGCTGCAAGTGTTGATTGGATGCTGGTCTTCCAGCATGCCTGTTCAATAAAAGCTGGGACAAATGTCAGCCAGCGGTTTCTGTTGAACTGCTGACACTAGAGGATATATGACCCATGTGTACCATCTTTAATGTACTCACTGGATAAATAACACAATATATAAAATCGTGAGAGGATAAAGTTGCAACAAATACATGTATAACTGTTGCATGTGTCACTCTGAAAATTACCTCCTTTTAAAGAAATATAGAATAAACTGTGATGCAGTAGAACACATGGAGGAGAAAGATGCTCCAGAATATTAAAGATGGGGTAAGACAGGACAAATGCAAGGTACTCACCTATATTGGCTTCTCTACCTATCTCCTGATTCAGTGATATTCATGCATTATTCAGTGGTGCAAATATCTCTTTGCAGAGATATGTTTGGATTAGTATTCTATTGTCTGGCTTGAACAATCTGTAGTGCTGATAGTTTTATATTGTCTGCTTTCAATGATTATTTATTAAATTATTTGTTTTTGCACCAAATTACCATGAAATATTTTGGTTATGCTGTTTAGCAGGATATTGCCATAACAATGAAAGTATAAAGAATTAACCCATGACCAAAATATACATAAAGCATATATGCTCTGCTGCCACCAGGAAACTCAGCTTGCATTTACCTCAGAGTTCACTGAGGAGCCACAGCCTTTCAAGGCTAAAGTACAATTCAAAAGGAAACCAAAAACAAACAAATATATATATATATATATATATATATATATATATATACACACAGTATTTCCCTCATAAACATGCAAATCAGTGCATAATTTGTTAAACATGCATTTCTTTTGAATTTGTTGTTGCTATTCTGTCTCTCAATGTTACAATACGCCTACCATTCGATTTTTAGACTGATCATTTCTTGTGAGTGGGCAAACATTCAAAATCAGCAGGGGATCAAATACTTATTTCCTTCACTGTATTTCCCTTATAAACATGCAAATCAGTGCATAATTTGTTAAACATGCATTTCTTTTGATTTTTTTGTCGCTATTCTATCTCTCAATGTTACAATACACCTACCATTCGATTTTTAGACTGATCATTTCTTTGTGAGTGGGCAAACATTGAAAATCAGCAGGGGATCAAATACTTATTTCCATATATATATCACCTATGCAGAATGTGGGGCTGTGGAGTATTTTCATGAGCAGCTTTTTCTGCAGGTTTCTTAATCCTGGGTTAGGGTCTGAAACTTGAAGTCCAGGTCCTACTGGAGACCTGAAGGTTGTGTGAGTGAGCAGGTGTGCATACTTGTTATAAGTTAGAAGCTGGCCATAGCTCAGGGCCCCATTAGGAGAGAGCTGCATGCTATAGACAAGGGGGACATGTGTTCCTGCCAGGGAGACAGAGGTGCTATACCCAAGAGACTGCACAACATGTTGGAGAGAATCCTTGCACATAGGACTGAGAAACTGAGGACAGCTAAGAGTTTGAGAAAAGAAAGTGAGGTGACTAGGTGAGTCAAGAGTGCTGAGGAGATCTGTATATCTCAGGGGAGTGAGAGAGCCTGGGGTGTTCAGAGAACACCAACCAAAGGACCAGGAGTGGGCCTGGGCAACCTAAAATCTATAAGGCTGAATGGGCCAGGAGAGAACCAAGAGACTGGGGATACAGCCTGATGGACTAGTGGCAAGGATCAGATGACTCAGCATTTTTCTGTTATCTATTTGCTGGAGAAAATTTAGTTTGGACAACTTTCCTATTTGTTTTTCAATAAAGTGGGCCTCCAAGCCCTTAACCACAGTTTGTACAGGCATGACTCACTAAAAATACTCACCACCACTGAGCTAAACATCCCCCATATCATATATATATGCCAAAAGTATTGGGACACCCCTCCAAATCATTGGATGCAAGTGTTCAAATCACCTCCATGGCCACAGGTGTATAAAATCAAGCACCCAGGCATGCTGACTGCTTTTACAAACATTTGTCAAAGATTGGGTTGCTCTCAGGAGCTCAGTGAATTCAAGCATGATAGGTTGCCACCCATGCAACAAGTCCATCTGTGAAATTTCCTTGCTAATAAATATATGGTCAACTGCTAGTGGCATTATAACAAAGTGGAAGCAACTGGGAACAACAGCAAATCAGCTACAAAGTGGCATGTCATGTAAAATTACAGAGCGGGGTCGGTGCATGCTGAAGTGCACAGTGCACAGAAGTCACAAGAGTTAATAGCTAAAGACCTCCAAACTTTGTGTGGCCTTCAGATTAGCACAACCACGTTTTTTTTTCTCAGAGAATAGGCGCAGGAACTCCCCCGCATCCGAGTCACCTCTTGTATCCACCCCCTACCCACCTCTGAGTACCATTCCTTAGTTCAACCCCCTACCCACCTCACAGTACTGCTCCTTATATAAAATA